TCGAAGATATATTACCTCGTCGTTTTCGGGGATGTGTCCTTTCTCCGATGTTGCAGCTCGGCCATGTAAGCAGTCATTCTTTTGCTTGATGTAAGCAAAGCACGTGCCGCTTCCAAGCTTTGAGCAGGATGCCGCGCAGCAGCCAACAGCCTCGACGAGCCTTCCTTCATTTTCACTTCCAATTCTATCTTTCGTTCCAAATCATATTCCTGAGGAACAAGGACACCGCGTCTATCGTAAATCATCGTACTGGAAAAATACCTTGATCAACTTTTTTCGTAGGCTTCGCGCGATATTTATTTCGTAAATTATTCCTGCTTGCGTAGCGATACTTGATGACAAAGCGACACGTCCGCACTCGACCTACGCGAGTTTAAGTTCCGAATTCTTTTCTTTCGTGCACTTTCGTCCACTTCATAAAATTAAACGAAAAAAAGGAAAACTGGTATTTCCAAGAACTTTCAGACGGAGTTGGATAGTCGTTGTCTTGGAATTACTTTTGTAATAATTAGTCTCAATCATCCCACTAGTGGTTAATAATAAACTAGATTACTGTTTCATAATTAGTCACTAATCGCGATCGTTAATCAATTCAAATTACTTTTGTAATAATTAGTCTCAATCATCCCACTAGTGGTTAATAATAAACTAGAGTTGAATAAACTGTAATCGTATAGGAAATTAGTATTTTGTAATTTTGCTAAGTTAATCCTGTCTGTTTTATAGTTAGTCACTAATCGCGAACGTTAATTGTTTCGACAATCATGGATTAGAAGTAGACTCTTAAACACTGTGTACAGGAAATTTCGAATGATGCTACACACGTAACCGTGCGATACGTCCCGTTACTTCAATCAATCGTCGAACTGTCATCGACGCCCAAATACGAAACTAATACAACATTTCTGATCATGGAAAACAAAACCTTCGTACTCACGTTCTCGTCGAGGTACTTTAACTTCGTACGTTCTCTTACGTGAATTGCAATTTTGAAACAAACGAAACACTCGAGTTAAACGAAAAGAATAATAGAAACGATTTATATTCCAAGGTAAACACCGTTTAAATCGCGCGATATTCTACGTAGGTGAAAAAAAGGTATAGTTGGAAACAAGTCTAACCATTCTGTACCTCTATAGGACTGCAAGTTCGTTCGCGTTCGTACTGATCGTTAAATCTATAGCAAGTGAATAATGCTACCATATCTTCTCCTCAGAAACTCCTTCTACGGACTTATTCCTTGGTCATGCACGAAAATATCTAAGTGACGCCGACCGGAATAGCCGATTTCAGATAGAAATAATCAAGCGGAAACAAATGGAATCGTTCGGCCCTCGTCGCGAACGGTTTCGTATCGTACTGAAAACCTCGCCGCAAAGATCCCACATTGAATCACACAAACGGGGAGGGAGTAGGGTTTTTGGGTGGGATTATTCGACTTCCCACCCATCCGCCGCGTTAAAATCAAACTGCACGCTAAACTATAAAGCGCAAACGACATTCGGGGAATAAAAGGGTAAAAAACGAGTTCGAAGAGCGCGTAAAATGAAATTGCATGCAGATAACAAGCGTTATTTCAAAGCATAGTCTTCTTTTTCGTCCAATACGAACGTAACTTATTGTTAATTGTACGGTATTTAAATATTCAAATCGTATAGAACGATTTAAAGGGTAAAATGGTATTATATCGATAGAAATCTTGAGAATCGTAATATATATACATCAAGTACCTTTAAAAAACTTTTTTACAACTCAACTTTTTTAAGTAATTATTATTTGTAAGATCATATAAGATAATACACTTTTTGCACTTCTTAAATTATGTTGTTCTTTAACGGACATTTTCAAAAAGAGAAACGCGACAGTAAAACATAACCTATTCTTTCGAGACAATCCCAAATATCGTCATCATAAAAAGATAAATTACTTAAATTGGATTTTTCAAATATCGAAATAAGTACAGACTCTATGTAGTTATGAAAATAAACATTCACTTGTGTTAGTTCAATAAACAAACCGGTTCGCAGAGCAACAGGTTGTAAACAATAAAGTTTCACTTTTGAAAGTAAACTTACCGCTGCGTTTTTGCAATTTCGAATACTTTCCCGTCTTCTAACGCGTGCTTGGTAGTCACTTAACGAACGCAGGTAATTGTTTTCCTTGTCCAAAACATTGTTCGATCCGCGAAGCGTTCCGAGGCTTTTTCTGCGCGGTGCCATTTTAAAGTTTAACGTCTCTCTTCTCAAACGGTGGACGCAGCAGCCATTACGAAAGAACGTCAGATGGAAACACAAAGGGAAGGGATAACGAGCGAAGATTGAAAATTTATGTGCGCTGTTTGTAAATAAGTGGTTCGAAGTTTCGATTAAAACTATGTCAACTGACGATCGATACTGGTTGATGCTAGTTGTGAAAAAAAGAAAATAGATTCGAAGAGGGTAAGTGAAGTTTTGAAAAATTGAAAACTTATATTTGGTATACATGTATTCACAAAACAGGGATTAACATAGAGTTATATATCCAAGGAGCACAAGTTTTTTTTTATTTCTTTTCCTTATCCTTATCTTTATCCTTCTCCTTCTCCTTTTCCTTCTCCTTCTCCTTGTCTTTGTCTTTGTCCTTGTTTTGTTGGAGAGATCCAACGGCTTGACGGACGGCATCAGAATGGGGATCGACACCAGGTAAATTTTCTAGAACTGATTGCAGAAAAGCTGGGTCGGACATGACGGCAGCGTAGTCCTCCTCGATTTCCATTGACTCTTCTTTCAAAGACTCGAGCTCTTCTACAGAAAAAAAGCAAATGGTTACGTGTGTGCGGTATGCATGATGTACAGATTCCTGTCGAGAAAAATTCAATGGTGATCGTTGATCACTCGTGACGGTTAAAGATTTAATTAATCGTAAATGCATGTATCGTACGTTGATCTTGATTAAGCATGGACATCTGTAAAGCGAAAGCAATTTGTTCTTCCTCAGTCATACGAGAGAAGTCAGGCACGATTCCACTAGTGGGCGTAGTATTCTCTGACGCTGAAGACGAATCTTCGGGACCCTCGAGCGACATGGCAAGCGCACGCTTTAACATTGTTTCCTCCTTCGGAGCTGCTTTCTGAGTTTCTCCTCGCTGGACTGTAGTCACTTCAGTAGACTGCGCGCGTCGTGCTTCATCCTCTTGACGCTGCCGTTGCTCTTCCATCGAAACACGTAGTGCCTGGACAAAGAAAATGACAAATTATTCTCTACTATTAATAATATTTAATAAAAATCGTTAAGTACGAACCAATGCCAACTCTGGATCTTCGTTTGGATCGACCCCGAATTCAAATGCAGCTCCTCCCACGCCTGTACCACCCATTCCATCTTCTCCTTGAATGATGGGAGAAGAAATCAACGCGTCCGATAAATGCGGTCCAGGTGGGACAGTAATCAAGAAACTGCCTGTGCCATCTTTTCCATTGAGTGTATTGATGAAGGCTGTTAATACTTCGCTGTTAACGCTTTCCTCGCCGAAGCTAATCACGTCGACACAGACTTTCTCTTTCTTCAACCGTTTCGCTAATTTAACTAGTTCTTTTTCATCGACCTCGATTGGACTACCAATGAAAGCAACGATGCGCATTTTGTGATTTTTACCTTGGCGATGTTTCAATGCCAGCTGTTGATTAACAATTTTTTTATTGTTGTATTTGTTGTGCTTAGATTGTAAAATGGGAGAATGGTTATTATACTCACATGTGCAATTCGTATTCCGGTAATTAGATTTAAATTACCGTTTGGTTGAACTTGATGGAGCTTTGATAGAATTCTGCCTACATCACTAGTCAATGTGGCCAACACTTCGGTACTATTAGAAAAGATGTAAGTTATGTAAAAATTTAGATGCTACTATGGAAGAATAGAGTATGAAATTTGACATACTTGGCCAATGTTATTAAACCAATATTATTCTCTGGATTTGAACGTGTCTTGGAATGGCAGACCACATGAACGGCATCTTGTTGTGCTTGAAGTCGAGTTGGTAAAAAATCTCCATTTCTCATGTAATCGCTATTGTCGACACTGAAAATATTCAAATAAATATTGATGAATAGACACATAGGTGGGGACAGATAAAATTTCATATGTAATGTTTATTCAATCTGATAATTATTCACATGAATTAGTCAATGTGAAACATAATTTAATTGTACAATTCGAATCGTAATTTTAATCAAACAAATAATATATCGAAAGTTGGTTATCTTTTATTCGAAACTTTTTATGAAGATGAGAATGTCGCCCATCTCTGTTTTCAGAGAGCTCTGTCGCATAACCTCTACCTACCTCGTTTACAAAGGTGAATATATTTCAGATAAAAACAATGAAACGTTTCATATTCAATATTTCATTTCTAATTTTCGATTGGATTGGCTTCAGTATTCGTTAATTTTTAGTCAGCAAAGAAAATAATCACATTTGTGCTACGAATTGTTTCAACTTTGCACTGTCACTCGCGTTTACGTTTTTGGAGCTACCAAGATATTAATTCTCACAAGAGTCAATCAAATTAACAATAGTCTCATTACGTTTGATCGAATTTCAAGAAACGTACACGAATAATCATAAAAATACCGTGCTATTAGGTAGAAATTAAATAAATATCGAGAGCTTACCATATCATCGTACTTTCCAGTACCATCTTGATTCCAATCACTGACGTGTTTCACGTTTCGTTCCGTTTCGTTCCGTTCTGTCCTCGCGTCGTATCTTCCTGTGTTCAGTTCTGTTTCATTTCAATTTGTTTTGGTCTCATTATTTAACGTACGCAAAACGTACAGAGATAATATCGAGGAGAAAAAGAAAAACATGTTGCTTATACTCGTAGACAATTACGTCGTACGTATACGTTAACCTTCGTGCAAAGTATAATTATAAGGAAAACGAATTATCTGCTACACTTGGATTAAGCATCGATCGAGATGGTGAATTAACATCGAGATGAGAGTAACAAAAATAGGGAATGTTTAGAAATAGAAAAGTGTTTAATGAAAGAGGTGCAACGATCGATATAAAAAGTGTTTAGGAAAAAAAAATAACAATGTATATTAAAGGGAGGAAGAAGATTCGGGGATTGAGTCCAGTTGAAGACTCGAGTATCTTGGTGCTTGATCCATAAGGGTGGCTTCCTCGTAAGTAGGCGGTTGATCGATACGGCATCTCGATTTCAACAACATTTGTCTAGTTCGTCTTCTGTCGGCGAAGGCTCGTAGGATAACGATGAGAGGCCCTAGAAGTAGCATAACAATTCCAATCGCGAGCATGATTATAGCAACAGCTGCCCCGACTCGATTTACAGGGGAACGAGCTAATTGTGTTTGATTTTTGCCGATTCCTGCGGCTTCGTAAGGAATGCTCTGATGTTCGAAGAACTTTTTCTCGTCCAAAGTAAGGAAATTAGAACCAGTGTCATCGAACTTCAACGAATTACTCGATCCGTTGTTACTCGTCGCGATCTTCTCCATATCGTAAGGATTTTCGTCGAGATTAAGCGCAACGATGTGTTTTTCTTTGCGGTCCACCTTTCCTTCCTCGTTTTTGTTCGTTTGATGGAACGTCTGTGCTTGAATCGCGCGGATGTCGCGTGTATCTTGTTTACGATTCGTCGTTAGCTTGCTAATCATTGGACTTTTTTCAGTTACTCCGGTATTGTCCATTCGATAAGAATCGACCTGTTTGCTCGGCCATTGTCCGTTCTGTGCAGCGACGTCGAGATTACTAAGAATGACGTCTTTCTGCCGTGTTGCGATTTCGTGTTCGACGATTCGGTGACGTTTTTCCGCGATACTCGAATCACGAATTGATTTCTTCTCGTTCCATCTCGTTAACCTTTCCTGTGAAAATAGCGTTCTCGAATCTTTTGCCAATTGATTTGTGGTTCGCCAAAAATAGAAGTCTCGAGAAATGTCAATCGGTTCGAAAAGTAGGAAAGAGCCTCTTGACATACCTCGTTCTTATTCGCTAACTTTCAACATCCATCGTGCATATCTTTTTAAATAAATTCGATAATACGTTAAATATAAATATACAGGGTGTCCCAAAAATGTTGTAACACCTTGAAAGAGGTGGTTCGGGAGGTGATTTGAAACAACTTTTTCCTTAGCGAAAATGTTGTCCGGAAAACACTGACCAATCAGAGCGCGCGTAGACCGTTGGAGCGATCGCGATAGCGTATGGGCGCGGCCGCTTATCGCGCAGCCTACGCTCCACCGGCATACTCGCGCTCTGATTGGCCAGTGTTTTCCGGACAACATTTTCGCTAAGGAAAAAGTTGTTTCAAATCACCTCCCGAACCACCTCTTTCAAGGTGTTACAACATTTTTGGGACACTCTGTATATTGTTTTAATCGCTCCCTAACTCGAAATTTGGTGTGTAGGAAAACATTATTTTATTTTATTTTGTCCAGTAACGAAAAAGACTATTCAACGCTATTGTAAACACGCGATATGTACGTTAGGTTCATCTTTGTTCCGGTGTAACGTATCGAAACGTAGCGTACGTACACAATGATGTAACAACGCATGGATGCGCTAGTAAGCTAGTATCCACTGTGACACGTTGAAATATAATTAGTAGTTTTCGTAACGCGACACACAAAACTGGTCTAGGTTTTGTTTTAACGAGCCACCGTATACAGGGTGTGAATAAACAAACGAATATATTTGTCAAGGTTATTGATATTTTTTTGACTCGAAGATCGATGTATCGTCGCGTTTGGAATAATCACGGTTACCTCGAATTCTCGCAAAGTATAATTTAAAAAAACAATGTTTGCTTATCAGAATAATTGCTACTCGAAACGAGCAATCTCGTCTCTCAAGTTTCTTTCATATCTTCAATAGAACTAAAGATATTCTAGATTCTCGCGATAAAAAGAACACCATGTACATTCATAATCGATTGAAATATCGAACCTGTGTATCAGTAGTGTCGTTTCGTGCCGCTTCCTTTGTACCATATAAAGAGATCGCGCCCTTTTGTAGAAGTACGATCCCAACGATACTCCAAATAGTCAGTTGAAAGCCGATTATCAATTTCGGGGACCACCTATTCGCTTTCGTGCTGAACGACATTTTAAAAAAAAAAATGCCGCACGTTTGGTAGCCCGTCTACGTCTCAATCACATCGAACACAAAACAATCTATTAAGGATAAACATGATTTTAAAGTAATGCAACCACGTCGAAGGAAACGAAAATTATTTAACCATGAACTTACATCAGGTTCCGTTTTTTTTTAAACCCTGTCTGTACATAGACTTTGAAAGACTGAAGTAACTGTAATACTCGTCGACATTGAAAAGGAAAAAAATTCAAGTATCTCTCTGACTTTATCCTTGAAACTCCTTGGGGTCCTCGAAAGATTTATCGGCACGATAATTAACGAATACAGAGCAAAAGGTGTTCGCTGGACGTTACGAACGGACAGAGACAGCAAGGAGTAATAACGACAAATTAAAGTCAAAGTAGATACGCATAACGTCGTTCCAATACCCGTTCCCTTGTTCGCGCTTCTACTTTCGCTCCCAGTAAATATGGCAACGCCTAGACGGTCGATTATTGATATCTAAAGAAAGAACCAGTCGTTAACGTAACTCAATACTCGCCCCAGCCTCCGTGTTATCGATAGAACCGTCCATAAATCGCTATTCTAAGTTTGTCGCGTTCGTGGATTCCGCAGATCCGCGTGTTTAGTGGTAGACGCGATCGTTACGATAAGCTTCTTTTTTTTTTCTTTTACCTTTTTTAGTGTCACGTTTCTCCTTTTACGGACGCACTGTGTGTCGAAACGCTGTCAATCAATATCGATCGGCGCACGAACACATCGACACGTTGGATACATATCAGAAACGATATTTCTACCGATCGATCGTAACTGTTCCCTTGGCCGCGCACACGACCGTTCGATCGGCTAATGGTTCGGTCAGTTTGTCATCGACGAATAAGTCATACGTCACACGCAACACATAGCTGGTCACGTCTCGTGGATCGTGCCGCTTGTTTGTGCTCACTCTCGGCTTCGCTCGCGGTCACGTGTTTCTTTTAATTCCTCGTACTTTGGCGAATCTTACAATTAAACCTTCTGCCTGCTACAAAATCTATGTTGCATCTAGATCTTCGATCTACGTGTTCGCCTTTTTCACCGTTAAAAATCATGTCGGTCGTAATGGATACGTTCACCTGCGCGTGTGTTTATTTCAGACTCTCACGAACGATGCACGCCGCACAGACAGTACTGGTCAATTAGGCGTTCTATCGTTGTTGCGATGTTATTTACCTGGCGTTTTTCGCGTGACGACTCGTTCGCGAAAAAATTATTGAAAACACAATCGAGTTTGGAAAATGATAGAACGATACCGTGGATTCGAGTGTGCATTTCGTACGTGCACTAATAAGGACTCGTATCGCGCGTTTGCACGAAAGACGTTGACAGAATTTATATTAACGATGGGGAGTCTTATCGATATACGTATGTGTGTATGCGAGAAAATACCTGATTATTCCTGGGTTTCTGCTTGGAAATTCCTAAGACGAAAAATATTAGGCAATAAAATAGATTGCATAATATGCTAAATTTGAATAGAAATCTCGATCGTTTATTAATACAATTTTTCTCCTTGTTGAATGTATTTTGTACGTAGAGGATTATGTTGGATATTTTCAGAGATGGAAGACGATTCTAAGGACGATCTAATCCGTGATAACTAATATGTACTTTGATACAAAGATAGGCAAAATTCTTATCTAGATATAAGTTCTCGAAATAACGAGTCAAAGATATACAACATTTAATCTGTTATTTATTCAACAAAAATTGAGTCCAAAATCGTAAAATGAATTGTAAAAAGCTTATCTAAACAGTGATACGCCATTCTACAAGGTCTCGAGAAGAAATTATTAAACGTTTTTCGAAACCATTAGCAACATATCAAATCAATTAATTTCCTAATCTATAAAATGAAATAAATCTGTGAAGATCGAAATAAGATTACATTATTCAGAATCCAAAATCTGAGGAACAAAATAAGCTTACATCGCATTACAACATAACCTAACATAACATGCTGACCGATAAACTTGTTTGCATTTAATAATCGAGACTATGAGAAATTACATATATATTTTAATCCAGCTGTAAGAAATAAATCGTAATATTTCTCCATTTGTCATTTATTTTTTATTCGAATAAAATTTTACTCGTCTTGGATTTACTCTATCGGTAATTTCGTAACAACGCTATCTATTGGATGCCAAGTCTTAATTGTTACGTATTATTATGATTGATGAATTTTGGATAGTTCATTGCGAGTTCAAAGTAAAACTCGGTGTTCAGTAAATTTAGAATGAAAGTTATTTATAGTCACTAAGTAGATGTGTATTTACATATAGATGCAGGTACACATTTAGACAAAGTAAACGTATGAGGCAAGAATAAACATCGAGTTTGTGGATAATTGATGCTTCATCTCGACGAAAACGTGGTTATCTTTCACAGACTTGGGTGAAAGGTATTTTATTTATACAATTTATTATATAGTTGTCAAAGAAGGTAACATATACGTAGTAGACGTGATAGAATCGAATCAAACGGCATTCAATATGCAAGACCGTGGAGAATTCAAACTCGTAACTTATCGAAAAAAACGTCTTCTTTGCGTTCGAAATAGTCATAATGCACATGTACCTTTACCTGATGACAATGATAACGATAGCGGCAATACCAGTTGCGAGGCACTTTTTGGGTAAGACACTCCTCGTTTTTCAAAACTATATATCGAGAGTTTTCTAGGTGTGAATATACGTACTCTTTCGTTCTTCCATTTCAAATTGTTAGGTTCATTTGTTCCTAACTTCTCAATACTTTACTCCAATTTTCAGGAAGCTCCTCGAGGCAGAGACCGAATTAAGAAATTCGTCATTCGGTGATGATATATTTCATTCATTGAAAGATTCATTGAGTGCTTTAAACATTGATGGTATTTCTGAGATACTGTGTTATGGTTTGGGTTCTTTCTCTTGTCGCAGGTCTTCTAAGTATCAGTTGGCTTTACTTCTGTCTTTGAAGAACCATTATGGTTCTCGAGTACATATATACGATCCAGTTTTTACTCCTAAAGAGATTCAGCTTCTAGAGAGATTTGACTTTAATGTTATAAAAATTAATGAGGAAGGCAAGAGAATCATTGAGGATAATGTAACATTGGTGTACATGCCGCACTGTTCAGTACATTTGACTAATAATTTCCTTTACGCAAATTGGAGTAAAATATTAACCAAATGCATCCTTCTGACGAATAGCTTCTCAGCTATCGAAGATCATTCAAAGTTTAGAAACTATATGCTTATGCCTATCGACTACATTTTGCGTATTCGACCGTACGTTACAGAAATTGCTTTGAAAAATAATTTCACCTATGAGGAAGTATTCCATGACTTAAATATTCATATATTTCTCGAACGAGATATCGTTACGGTACCTAGGGATTTTTGGAGCGAAAGAGAGGAACCTTCTTACGGAGACGCGACAATCGATTATTTCACTGCTAAACAAACGGAACCAGTAGACGTTAAGAATCGTAATTATATTTCTAGATTTTTACTTAATAGATCCTCAATGTATCAGAATACATTGCGTCGCACGAATTGTGCCAAATTTGTATGCAAATGATTAATAGATAATAGTAATACGATTTTGTCTGTTGTAGGTCCGAACGAGGATGAAACCTAACATACACTTGATTCGCTCGCTTATAAGGGAAATCCGTCAAACATCCGCTGAACGGAACGCAAAGGATAATAGTATGGTGCGTTACATCCTGGAGCAATCACGAGCTCACAGAGAAACTTCTGAAGTTCTATGTAAAGCACGAGAAGAATTGGAAAACTTGGCAAAGACGTACCTATGTTACTTGAATTCTCGACGAATGTGCAAAGAGATCCAAGTTCGATACACTGGTAAAGGTGAACGAAGTATCAAAGACACTGCAGATCTCGTTGGATTTAAATTACCTCATGATCCAAAGTAATCTTGGTTTAAAGTAATAATATTGATTTAATGAAGTTTTTATGAAGTCTTTATGAAAAAGTAGAAAAATATAATGTATTGAATGAAATACAAAATAAAGCTCTCGCGATAAGATTATCAAATTTTACGTGTATTCTTTACGAATACATTTGGCAATCGTTGATAGTTGCATGTTGCTGGTTCCTTCGTAAATAGTACCAATCTTGCAATCCCTGAAGAATTTCTCTTGAGGGAAGTCAGTTGTATATCCTACACCGCCCATGAAATCGATGCATTTCGCGGTGACGCGTAGGGCCGTTTCTAAGTTGGAATGTTTATGAATCGTACATGTTACTATTAAAAGAAAAAAAGAATAATTTTTTGGGAAAGGTATTACTTACCTGAAGCTACGAGTTTGGCCATGGCAGCCTCCTTCATAATATCCTTCTTAGCGTCGACTAATCTGGCTGCGTTGTAGACCAATAACCTGGCACATTCAAGCTCGGTGACCACTTGGGCAATTTGGTGTTGCATTGACTAAAAAAACACGAAACGTTTCGAAGACTGCAAGAAAAGACTGAAGAGAAGATATAGATTATTCGTCATACTTGAAACGAAAAGATATCCTTCCCGAATTGTTTTCTTTCCAACGTGTACGGTATAGTGGCGTCCAAGCAACCTTGCGCTATGCCAATCATTTGAGCTCCGATACCGACTCGTCCTTCGTTTAAGAATCCAGCAGCGTATTTGTATCCATGGCCAAACTTACCCAAGATATTACTCTCTGGAATCTGGGTACACGACGACAACAGTTTATTATTAACGAGTTAGGAGTTCGTTGGAAGTATTATTAGCAGCCAAGAAGAACCAAGAGTACCATTCAGAGGTATTCTTCTCAGCTGCCACTGATACGTGTAGATTGTTCTCTTTACTCTAACGTTATCGAAGTTGACCATGCAGGTACCCGACGCCTTTATTCCCAGCTTATCCTCTGGCTTGCCCACCGTCAGTCCAGGCGTGTCTCGGTCCACGAAAAATGTTGTGATACCTCGGTATCCCTAATAATTGAAATGTATAAAAATATAACAGTGTGATTTTACTGTAGGTCTACTAGAAGAAAAGAACTCACAACAGACGGGTCTGCGTTCGCAAACACTAAAAATAAGCCAGCAATGTCCGAATTCGAGATCCACATTTTCGTGCCGTTTATTACAAAGTCGGATCCATCCTTCTTTGCTACAGTTTTCAGAGAAAACGCATCCGATCCCGAGCCAGGCTCCGTGAGGCAAAAGCTACCCGCCTGGAGGAGGACCAATGATATGAAAAAGAAATAGAAACGGTATACACGCACGCTGTTATTTATTCATCTCAACTTACGTAATCTTGAGCTAATCGCGGCAGATATTTCGCTTTCTGTTCCTCCGTGGCCACTTTTGAAATCAACGAATTCACCAGAGTGTTGTGGATGTCGACTAGGGCCGCAACAGCCCCGTCAGCTTTCGCCACTTCTTCGACTGCTAAAATCGTCGCCATGAAATTGAATCCAGACCCACCATACTTTTCAGGAATCTCGATGCCCATTAACTGGCGGTAATCAACTATTTATTAAAACTCATTCTAGTCTTAAGACAGACTATCTATTCATATAACGTTTTCTGATTTTATTTATACCAATATGATACTGTTTTCTTATAATATTATTGAACACACTTGAAAATGTTATATGAAATATAGATGAAGTTTGAAGTAAGATTGATATTGAAATTTTACACCAGAGCAATCGGGGTAATCAATTATATCTGTTTACGCACATACGCGGAGCAATGCAATGACGCGTTCGAGCAAAATGTTTTCACATAAATATTGTAGAAGATATGGATGATCATGCTATTTACTTACACCACTTTCAAAAAGCTTTCGTACCAGACCATCGTCTATCTTGCCTTCCTTTTCCATTTTTCGCACGATTGGCGTAATTTCCTCCTTTGCCAATTTACTGACTAAGAGACAATGCGAAATTAAAAAAAAAAAAATAAGATAATGATTGATAAAGGAGTAGGTACGAAAAATCAAGATCGATTTACTGGATGATAAACCGACTAATTTCAATAATGATAATTACCAGTTTCCTTCATCATGAGTTCGTCATCTGAAAATTCTGTTAGAGGTGCGGAACAGACATTGAATCGCGACGCACTCGTCCCCAGATTCCTTTTTTCGTAAAGCGTTCGTGGTATCTAAACGAAACAGATTTAATTATTCTAATTAGCCTGAAGCAGTTAGTTTTATCAGCGATTGTAATCGGCATCGGCGCTAATAGGATCTCCTGCGAATATGCGATTCGGCTACCGATAACCGTTATTTCATTACAGTGTTCGCATTTACAAGCTACCTCACCTAACGACGCTGTTAAAGACTCCTGTTTTCCTATTTGCATCGACGTTATCGAAATCTTTTGATCTAAACTAACACTAAGTAGCGCTAGGAGAGGTCAAGTGCTTGCAACAAAAATATGGAATACGAGAAAAGAAATTCATGTTTACAAAGAGGCCACGTGTGCTGCATTGAGAAATATCTAATTGAAATTTCAGTAAACTGGTGACGTGCGTAGTGGAAGTGGGACATGCAAAGCAAAGACGGGCAAAATTCTTATCTAGATAAAAATGTCGGATAACGAACAAGTGATAAAGAATAGTTCATACTCGTCGAAGGAAAATTAAAGTGAACATCATGAATACGTTGGTCTACGTTTGTTTTGCTCGTTATCTATTATTCGAATAAATGTTATTTTTATTTATTTAACTTATAAAATTTTAATAAAGAGAAGAAATTCAGAAGTATGCAATAAGTTGTAACGAGACGATAAAAGTAATGAACATGCGATAAACGCACGTAAGATACAATGTTAAACCTACATTTTATTCGAGATTATTTTAGACTGGAATGTAATCTTAATACACAGCGACGTTATTTACGACCAATCATTTTCCCTTCGCGAATCAATTTACTTAACACTCGTTGCAGCAATAACGAGTATCAATCAATCTCGTTTGTACAGCTTGTTCCACGTTATATGCACGTATTCGGTTTGACTAAACTTTAGAACGTTAAACATCATTTCGAACATATTTGTGTTGAAAGTCAGATACATTTGCTCGGACATCTATTTGTTCATTATCGCTCAAGGTTCACCGAAAGAAAGCTGATTCTAGTCAGCGTCAGCGTTAATATGACCTTTCCTCGTGAATAGGTGTACTTTTCCTACTTACAACGGTTGTTTCGTTAACATTTGAATAATTTACGTGCCACGTCATCTATTAAAAAAAAAAAAAAAAAAAATTATAACTTTGCAACTTTGCTATATATGTTCCAATCCGTTAAAATGGCTGGAAAAACAACGTGAAATATTCAACTTTTTATTTGCAACATTTCACTACGATTTTATATTTTAATTGTGGCAATCGAGGCCATTGATTCCATGTGACATGATTTATCGTACTCCATAGAAAGCCAAACGATAAGAATTTCACAATATTGACAGGCAGAAAAGAAAAGCAGAAAAACAGGTTGTTTAGATTTACGCGTAGCATTAGATTCTATAACGTTAGATATTGTGATATATAATTATGAAATCAGGTGAAAGTTCGTGAGAAAGAAGTGAAGTGTTCATGCATACGTACTTGTCGTATTAGCGGCGAAAACAAATTCGTGTTTAGTTTAAAATTCATGTTCGAGATATAGATCGGTCCCGACGAGATCTTTCGATATGTTTGTACCAACGATGAAGGGAACGCCGACCCAGCTTTGACGAGCCCCGAAGAAAGTGGAGAACGATGTTGTCTAGTTCAAAGCTAAACAATTACTGACGGGGATCGTAATGTTTTGGACAACGGATACCGCTCTAAACTCCGTCTACAGTTGAGTCTGCACGAGCGTCGAACAGGTTCTTATGTAATAAAAGAAAAAACGATTTCTGATTTATCAGTGAACCCGTTTCGATGACACGACTTACGCAAACACTTGATTCCGATACAAACTGAACAACATTAGTGCACACATAGTTGGACGAAAATGCCACAGCTTAGCGAGTATGTTCTCGTATATATGTACATATAATATATGCTAACGATTCTACAAAAACGCGCGAGTGTAGTGAGAAATTCCTTTATCGTCGAAACGAGAGTTGCGCTTACGTAAAATTATTCTTTCGTTGCAGGGTTTATCCGTTCTAACGAAAATTTTTTTAGTTTGTTTATCAAATATTCCCCCCCTTTCTTTATACATTTCGGAGAAGAGGGAATTTATCGTCACGCGTTATCGCCGTCTATTGTCTCTTTTTGAGATATTATTCTGCCTCCCGTACGCGTCGTTATCCCTATTATGGATGTAAGTTACTCGACGTGGACCTAAACGTCGCTTTCTAATATTAATCTTGTCACACGTCGTTGATTCATCCTCGTTAAAAATACAAACAGCGTCGCGATTCGGAAACAGATTCAGGCTGGAGTAACGTGAACTGATTTTCCATTGATATGCGAATTGTTGCTACTTTTTTGTGACATTATTCAAAGTTACATGACGACCGTGTGTACCGTTGAAAAATAATTTTATTTCTTCTAAGAGGTCATTTTTTTAAGTTTTCGTGATTTTTAGATGTAAATTTATTGTAAATAGTTTCTTTTTATTCTGAGTATAACCTTTCAATGTTACTGAACAATGGTGTCCGATTGGTGTTCGCGTCGTTCATATGTAGTAGTTAACCTTTTATTTTTTTGCGACCCCCTTCCCATATTCTCAAGCAAAATGCATAGAATGTACGTTTAATGTGAAATTGTGATGTCATCTCGACGCTGTACATGAAATTTTAGTATAAGATTATATTAGATAATTTGTGAAAAATATTACGTGTGTAGAAAATAGACATACTTAATACTTAATTACAATACTTAATGTTAACTTTGAAATTAGTCTATTTAGTTCACGTTAGATGTCATACTAAAGGGAACGCTGAACTTTCTTTGTGTTCCTAGTTCTAATAGTCCCGCTTCAAATATGTATTTCGTAAGGTCATATCAACAAAAGCGGTTTTCGTATCGTACGTAACGCGTTATTGGCTGCTCGAGAGCGAGTGCTTCCATTGGTCGACGAGTTTAAGACACAGCCAACCGAAACAAAGCATTTTCGAGAATCGATCTCTCGTTAGGGTTGCCCATGAAGTTCCATGAATCGGATGCGCAACGGTATTGTGCGCACGTTCCGCGTGCTCGACGTGGAATTGGGTGAAGAAAAAGAACAGGAAACGTAGACTAGGACGGAAAGGAAGAAAGGGACGAAACGGTGTGTAACGGGTAACGAAAACATCAGTCCACCATCCACGAAAGATTGATCCTCGTACGTGACGTAAAAAGGCCGATCGAGCATGGAAATTCGCACCTATACGGATACGATTCGAGAAAAATATAAAACGATAGGTTAATCGGTGGCTCCGAGATAACACGGCGAAGACGCGTAGTTCGATACAGAGATGGGCAAAATTTCACTCGAATAATAGATGACGAATAAAATCAACGCGTAAAGATTGAATCGATCAATTTTTATTCATTCATCGCGATATAAATCGTTCTTTAATTCAGAATTGTCATTTTCCGTCGACGAAGAAAATACTGAGGACACTTGCTTATCTCTTTAGATTAGTCGTTTGAAATTTGTATCTAGATAACAATTTTGCCCATCTCTGGGCTTCGAAGTGGGAACGACAAAAGGTAGAGAAGAGGAGGTGGAAGTGGAAGTGGAGGTGGTAGGAGTAGTGCTAGTGGTGGTGGTATATACTACGGGAGAACCAGGAGGTGGAGAAGGCTTGCCAGCCGCCGGAAGAGCATCGACGGCGACGGGGGTGGGGAAGCTGTCCACCGAACGGAACGACCGCTCGGCGATACGAACGGCGAGTCGAACGGTTTCCCAAACGGATACGGACATACCAACCTTCGACGATATTCGCCGATTTTCTGCCTAGGTAAGTTTTTACAAGTCACGACGTAAGCTGTGTCGATCGCGAATCGTTTCGAGACTCGCGACGCCGTCAGGACGCGAGAGAACGGCAGTTCCAAATAACTGACAGGAATGACGTAGCGTAAGGGGTGTGTCGTCGATTAGGCGGCAATCTTTGATGCTATTTCTGTGTGTCGTTAAACGCTTCTGGACGATCTTTGATCGCCGATTACCGAGCATCTCATTTACATTCGACCGTCGACCATCGCGTGAATCTATATAGAAAGTGATTGTCAAGATACTTGTTGTGATAGTTACGCCATCGAAAACCATCGCTCCTTCCGTCGCTGTATCGCCATTTGCATTGTTAAATCGTTGACCTTCTTTTCCTCCTGTTTTCCCCCTGAAAGATAGAAAGCTCTTCCGATACCGAGAAGCTCGTTCCGAACGCAAAAGTGACGCCATTCCGTCGTTTCGCTCTTCCGATCGCGATAATTTCCTGTCGGGGCTCGTCGTGCACCGGTGAAAGCTCTCAACGAAAACAAAAATTCTGTTGATTCCTCGTAGATATAAATCTTGAGAAACTGTGTTACTCGTACGTTATCTGTGCGCTGCCAACGACGATAAGCAACAGTGCCTAGGGACTTGTAAACGAAACGCGTGCGTTTCTTCTGTGTACGCGGTTTAATCGATCCGTTAAGAATATTCTCCATTGAAACTAACGAATGGTTGTAACGTTGTAAGAAGTATACGAGTCCAACTAGTACATTGGCAAAGCTCGAGGTATGATCAAAATAAAAGTGAACTTCGTTTCGTAATGATCGATGCGTGTGCGTACATCGAATACTTTTACATTTATCCGTCAGTGGTTAGTAAATCGATACATCTAAACTCCGGTCATTTGGGCGTATTCGCACGAATAACCGTATACTGAGTTCGTCTCGACGTCCTTATGATCGTCGTTACTTCGTTAACGTGTACACAATGCAGATACTACATACATATATAGGTGGATGCGTACATGTTGCGTTGCCGCAACCAGCGACATGAAAATTCGTATTGTTTCCGATTTTCCCGCGAAAAAATGTACAGCGAATCCGGGGAATACAACTGCCATCAAAAAATAATTTCTTATGAATTTTTATGCAACGAACCAATCTTCACTGAAAATAACCTCAAAAATAGAAGAGGACTATTGTTATTAATGATCGGTCCTGACACTAACTCGATCAAATCGGATTAAAAGTATAAAACATATTGAGATTTCAGAGGGAAGGAAACAAATTATTAACCCCATTCACTCCCTTCTGGAATCTCAATATCATAAATGTAAATTTGATGGTAGAACAAATTATTTTTTGATGTCTGCGATATTTTCCAGCTGTAATTTAGCAAGTGGATGCGCCAAGCAAGTGCACATCTCCCAGCAATGAACTTGTCTGCCTTCTCTTCTTCTTGCGACAACTCTAGACCGCCCGCGCGCAATCTGTCGTCTCTGTCTCTTGGAAATAAACTGGCTACTCTCTCAGGTTTCGATTCTATAGAAGGCACGCCGTTCACCTGTGTGTGCAGTGGTCGGTTTATCTTCCCGGCTTCCTCCACCGATCTCGATCCGCGACGTTTGGCGTCGATTTACCGATATCGCGTTTCCAAGCATTTTCTTACTCGGTATTGAACAGTTAGTTCGAAACGTCTTCTTCCTACCGATGACATATCACCTATTTAACCTAACGAGTACCCGTGTTAGCAGCGATACCGTACGCGACACGAATCCAACGATAGGGACGCTTCTACTTATAATTAATCACGACAATTTAGCAGTTTTAAACTTGGCATCATCGGTAATAAGACTGCCTAGTTTACCACTACATCACAGGTCTCAAACCATCTAATTAGATTCATAGATAGTTCGATATTTTTCTAGTTTCTTTTTCTAGTTACTTTTTTTTCATAACATACACCACGCCGATATTTTCTAGAGTTGTTCAATGTCTATCAATAGTTTTTAACTCGAACGTTATTAGGTGCTAGTTTAAAATTACCTAATCATTGACCTGGATACAAGTATAATTATTCCCGCGTTCCTTTAACGATTGTTTACCAACGAGAAGCTAGAGAAAGGTGCACGTTTCCCTCGTAGTAAAAACGAGGCAACCGTGCCTCATCGGCCGAACGTGGTACCACCCAACGAACCACGATAGAGTAAGCTTTGCGTTTTAAGTTATGACATCATCGCGTCGAGAAACAGCGGACGCGTCGCATTAAGTATCTCCGCGCCGCTATACGTGTTGGGTCCATTATCTTGGTATTTAAACACGATATCGAATCGTTTTTTTTTTACCTCGTATTAACCATTCTTTATTACACAACAGAAACGTCCACCTCTGTTATACATATTTTATTTTAATTCATTCTATCGAGCCGGCACCATTTGAATCCTTGACAAGGTCACATTGAATTTCAGATGCAACATCGATGATCTATCGGAACATGCTATAGAGTAAATTTCGGATGTTTTCACGAGATGGTGTGCGTAAATACGTAAGTGATCGTAACTACCGTTCAATTGGTGTTCGCTGTTAAATAACGTTGATGAACACCAATTGACGGACTGGCACTATTTAGTCACGGCGAATTACGTATTCGATGAGACGGTGGTAGTTGTAACGAAGCCAAAAAGAATTTTTTTTTTTTTTTTTTTTTTTTTTTTTTTTTTTAAATCGTTGATGCATATAGTAATAGAAATTTGAATAAAAATTCTTCAATAAGAACGGATGATGGTACAAGTAGGATTCATTCGAAATCATTCGCGTAAATCAGTCGCGGTGGAAGGTGCAGAAAAGAAATGGCCGCGAACCGAAAAAGTGTATCGATCGTTACGCTCGACTCGAAGTCGCAGAGTACTATCTGTGTACTTTTCTTAATACACGACCTGGCATTTAAACTATTTCGAAATATAAAGGAAAGGTATCTAGAAGAGATTGTTTTTGTCTTACGATTTCTTCTATATGATTGTATTTATATTCTAGTGTAGATATACGTATATCTGAAGATGACTCGTATAGAAAGAGTCGAAACGTTTTAAAGCGAGACACTCTCGGATATATTTCTGGGATTTTAGCTTGGGAAAATCAATAAGAAACGAACGTCCACAATTCTCGAGAATTGTATATTTATTTTAAGACCGACAAATGATGAACTCGATCGGATTAAAATTATTTCAAGTTTGCGCGGTTTCGTCGGAAACGCGTCCCGGAAATTCGTTGGCCGTGCATCGTGACGTCATCCTAAAAACTTGTCGCGCCACTCGATCAATAAATTTCAGCGAATCTGCTTCTACTCGTTTCTTGATATGATAAATTAGCAGGTCGCTGTGATTTTCGTCGAGGAACCGGTTGTAAATTCGAAATTAGAATACTAATCGTATTAAGAGGCGAGGTTAGGCGATAAAGGAACAGTTTAATTCGCTAATTATATAATTTATGAATTCACGTTTGGCGAACAAAAAAAAAAAAAGGATCGATACGATGCATAATTGATCGTTAAAATGTCTGGTGGGTTCGTTTATATTCTAATTGGTCGAGCGTCGGATCGATTCCCAGGATTGAAAACGGTTTTCATGAAACGAAAGTGGCGCCAAACGATTTCTCTTTCTTTTGTAATTACGCGTACAATGGAACCGTTGATTCGACGAAAGTAATAAAACCGACGAAGGAGAAATCTCATAATTCACGATTGTGCGCTCGAATCGATGCTTGAAGTGATTTCTTTACGATATCTTTCTAGCATTTTAGATTAGGATTCACGGAAGATGGGGGTTCTAGTTAAACGTACGCTTTCAAGTCGAACGCCATTAGGCGCGGTTATCACGAGCACAAATGTGTCAATGTCGAGCGTCTAACGACGAGAAAACCAGTGCAATTTACCGTTTCTGTTCCGCGATGGTAGTGAGCATCGTAGTAACAAACACCACCAAGCACACCTTCGTTTGTTTTCGCGTGGACTGTCGCAGAAAATAGGGTTAGGATTACGGGAGGTTTTATCAGGTTTTACGGTCTTCTTCTTGCACGCATAGAACGTTATAACCCTTTCTATTCACCGTTATGTCGTCCTCGATACACAGTTATTTCAATATCCTTATTGTATTTTCCATTGTACGGTTTATGGATTATTCCTTAATTTACAACACTGCTTGTGGTAGTCATATTCAAAGCAATTTTTTTTAGAATAGAGAAAATCCTAGAATACGAACCTGAAATTTGCTGATACTGTTTGGAAACAAAATTAACAATATCGGCAAACTTAAAGAAAAAAAATAATATTCGCTCCTGGACAATCATAGCATTGCGATAATATTTTGTGATACTCTATGTTTGTAATCTGCGATGATATTTCGTAATATTTCAAACTTTACTGCACCGTAGCATTAAAGTTCTGATGAAGGTGAAAATGTTGGGCCACGTCGCGATGAAAGGGCGAGATTCTGTTTCGAACCTAACCCTAAAATTCGTAGAAGAGAAAACAAGTTGTTGAATGGGCTTGTTTTCGTCCTTCCAGAAAGGGATACAACAGAAAGATACAGGGAATGTGAAACGGGGGGCGGAGAGACGAAAACGTAAGGCGAGAAGTGAGCGTGGTATAAATAAGCGCGGTAAGAATTTGAGAAAAAGACTGGTACGATTTCAGCCGCTCTAGGGATTCTTGTCGCCAGTCACCCCTGCTGTCTACGCATTCGACGCCCGTTACACTTGACTGTTACCCGCGAGTTTATTGATCGTTCGCTGACTTCTGCCGGTTTTCCTGCGTTCTTTGCCTTCTATCAATCGTCGAAACACGGAAAGATGGAAGGGTTCGCAGAGTCGTCGAGTTTACGTATGAAAAGATGGCGGACTGGTCGAATTCGAAACCCCTAGGCTTTGAATAAATCATAAGTTTCTTCAATCGAAAACTATTTGTAAACCTATAATGTAAAACCTATTTGTAAAGAGTAAAAGCCAGATAGGTTTTGCTTAGAACCTAACCTTACTTATTTTTTTTAACCTTACCTACCATGCAAAAGTTCGATAACCTAAGCAAACCCCTGATTTCTTCACCTAATACCTCACACTTTTCGTATCTTATTTAACGACTTTATCGCACCTCGAATGCAGATAAAGTAAAATACAAACACCACCTGCTACGTCTTTGCGAAAGGGTGAAGTTTCAGCATCTGGTGTTTGTACAACCTAACCTCAATTTGCTTTGCAACTTTATTCGTTGCATTTTATTCGACACGAATTCAATATAAACGTTGACTCCACCACTGCGAAGAAGTGAAGTTCAACGTCTGTAGTTGTACGATCCAACCTTTATTTTTTTCGCGGAATATAGTCAGTTTGTAGCATTAATAGGGGAACGAAATTTGTTTTAGTCGGTATCCAGCGAAGAAGAGGGAAGGAGGAGGAGGGGCAGGAGGAGGCGGTGGTGGTGGCGGTGGTGGAGGTGGCGGCGGCGGCAACGACGGCGTCGGTGGTTGAAAAAGTGGAGGAGGAGGAGGAAGAAGGGAGAGTAACAGCGAAAAATAATATAAAATAAGGGGGAAAGAAGGGATAAATTCAAGGAAATAGTAGGAGAGCAAACTCGTTAAGGATGGCGGACACGAGTGAACAGCAAACGTTGTCCGAGCCACACACGAACGGAGTAATGGACGGTTTGACGGAAGAGGAGAAAAGTAAAATGAGGCCTGCCGACATCGACGCGGTGAGATACCAAAATCAATTCGTTGTATTTAATTCGCGAAGGAACGCACTGAAATTGCATTTTAAAAATTGCATTCTTTTTCGGTAGGATATGAGAGAGATGGAGAGGAGAAAGAGAGTCGAGATGATGATGAATTCGAGACTCTTCCGAGAGGAATTAGAACGTATTATCGAGACACAGATGAAAGACGGTGCTGGGCCATCTGGCCTATTGCAGCAAATCTCGGACATGATGGGTGCGCAAGGTGCTCGGTTCAACGCAAACGTGTTCAAAAGTAAGTTGTTCCAGTTGAAATCAAACTACTGCAGTAGGTCTTAATATTTTTAAACTTACAGCTTCTCAGTTATCTTGGATTTGTCACGGTACGAATAATAGGTTTCTTCACAGATACGAATTGTGTATTACCTATCAACGACATACGCGGTGTCGAAAGCATGGGCTACGCGAAGGGAGAGAAACTGTTACGCTGCAAGTTAGCGGCGGTGTTCAGATTGCTAGATCTTTACGGTTGGACTCAAGGTGTCGGTGGGCAAGTCACAGCCCGCTTGAATCAGGATCAAGAACACTTTTTAATTAATCCGTACGGACTGCTTTACCATGAGGTCACCGCCTCGAGTTTGGTCAAAGTTGACATGCAAGGGGCGATCGTGGAACAGGGAACAACCAATTTCGGCGTTCACGTGACAGGATTTCAGTTGCATTCGACGATCCATGCTGCAAGGCCTGATATCAAGTGCATCGTTCATATTACCACTCCGTCCGTTACTGCTGTAAGTGGAAAACTCGATCGTTCTTCTTCTTGGATCTCTTATAAATTAATTGTTAATATATGAATTATATCCATCCATCCATTTGGCATTAACGTGACTAACCGTTTAGAAGGTTATTGCACGATGAATTATATATTAGCAAGTATTTGATAAAATTCTTTTTTTGCAGATCTCGTCGCTAAAATGCGGATTGTTGCCAATCGGACAAGAGAGTATAGTAATAGGGGAAGTGAGCACGCATCAGTACATAGGCGGATCCTTCGAACCGGAAGAGAAAGAGAAGATAGCTAGAAATCTTGGACCTGTGAACAAAGTGATGCTGTTGACGAATCGCGGCGCTCTCTGTTGCGGAGAGACCGTTGAGGAAGCGTTTTACAACGTTTACAACATGGTGATGGCCTGCGAGACGCAACTGAAGATGATGCCCGCCGGCCTTGAGAATTTAAATCTTATTTCCGAAGAATCGAAGAAAGCTATATTCGAGGCCTCGAGAAAACCCCCTACACCGCAGCACACGGCTCAGATCTCCGAAAGCTCGGCTCTCGCTGAAAAACTTGAGAAACGTTGGCGAATCGGCGGAACTGAATTCGAAGCGCTCATGCGGATGCTGGATAATGCTGTAAGTGTTTAAGATTCGCAGTGATTTATAGAGACAACAAGACATGACTGTTTTATAAATTGTGTAATTTTGATTGTTTATAGGGATTCCGTACGGGTTACATATACAGGAATCCGTTGGTGAAAGGAGATCCTCCGCGACCTCGAAATGACGTTGAAGTTCCACCAGCAGTTTCGTCTCTGGGGTATCTACTCGAGGAAGAGGAACTATATAAACAAGGGTAAATACATTTGTCCTGCAAAAATTATTTGTATCATCCGATAGAAGCTTTCAATCGTCTTTCTCTGTTTCTGTTATAGACTCTGGAAAGGTGGTCGCAAAGGCACTGACAGGTCACGTTGGCTGAACTCGCCCAATGTGTATCAGAAGGTCGAAATTCTCGAGACGGGAACTCCTGATCCGAAAAAAATTACAAAGGTAGAAGTTATCACTTTTGAGAATAAAACCGAATAGATGCAAGGAGGGAATATATATCATACGAAATTATATTGTACGTGAAACTAAAATTCGCGCGAGAGTTGAGCATCCTTGCGAATTATATTATCGAAAAGGAATAGTACATTTAAACAGTGTCGATGTCGGTGTCAATGTTCGTGAATATTTTACGTGCACATGTTGTTACATTAGAGATTTCTCGAAAGAGCTATTTATCAGAAAGTAACTTGTTGCGGCTAATTAAGATGAGAAGAGAGCGTACGTGCAATTTCCTATAAACATCGCTTTCCTTCATTAGAATAAGTAAGACGAGCATGTGTTCCAAATACTGATAAACGAATTCACCCTTTTTTACAAAGACTCGCAGATTTTTGGATGATTCGAATCCATCTGTTCGACTAGATTTCATCGATTTTGCTTGTTATCCGTGACACACACGCGCAGCGCAATTTTCATATTCTTGGTACATTCCAGTTTACAAGTAGTCCATTAGGAGATACGTTGCGAAAGCACGAACAAGGAAAGGGAGGAAGGGAGAGAGTGAGTGGGAGAGAGAGATATATATATATACATGAACGCAATGTATAAATTAAGGGTTCGAGGAACCCTGAACGATCGACTTGCGATTAGCACGAAATGTAATTCCGACTGAACGTGTCTCTACGATATCGCGTGTCGTTCGGCCAGTACTAAAAAATTATTGTCGCCGTTAATAGACTTTATCGCACCTCTCTCTTGTAGCTTCTTGATATTCAAATAAATATATGTCTACTGTTCATCGTGTATAGGTAATTTTTCTAATCTAATAAGACATCGACGAGGTAGTTCGTCCTGCAAATCTGCGATTCGATGAGCTCGAGTTCCGCGAGCAACGAAGTCGCACGCATTTTCATACGTCGTGCCTCGATGTTCCCCGAAAGATGAATACGAGATCAGACCTGGGCAAGATATATATGTAAAATGCCAAGTATATTCGTTATTTGAGGCTTTCACGACCCGATTCTCTATTGTTAATAGTATTTAAAATCTACTTAATTTATAAATGCCCAGACCTGCTCGAGATACACGATCGATTCTTAATCGGGTACTGTGTATGAATGTGTGCCTGTTAATCGTATCGTCGAAGCGACGAACGTTCGATTCTTCGTCCCACTGCATTTACAAAACCAGATCGATCGACCCTGTATAGAGGCGGAGAGAGAGACGGATAAAAAAACCCTCTCCAGAAATATTCGCGATCGATAGACACGGAAAACGTTTAATGACATGTTTCTCCTGATAAAAGGAAAAATAAATAAATGATCGAATAAATCCACGCTGGACGAAACCAGCCGAAGAACTCGAACTCTCGACGAACGATTCGAAAAAGTTGCAGCATCGAGCGCGTACGTACACCAAACGGTAACGGGGAACACGACGCCGATGTCATCGGCAGGGCAGGCACACATAGCATACGCAGACAATGCGAGAATCGATTATTACCGATGCTGTACCGGATGCTTGAATTATATCGAACCCGGGGGTCGAACTAACGTTCTGGTTTTGTGTGCAGTGGGTGTCTGACGGCTCTCCGACCCACAGCAGTACGCCGGTGAAGATCGACGGTGCTCTTCAATTCGTACCGAAGAATACCAATCCAAAGGAGTTTAAACAATTACAGCAACAGGTAAGTACATCAACAATCTGTAAGTATCTCTCTGTCAGTCCTGTGTCAGTTCTTAAACGTATAATAACAACCTCCTAAGATTGAATAATTAAATACGTGAACCACATCGTAAAATCAATAATCATCCTGCACAAAGATATACAGAATTGGTAAACAGTTTTAATTATAACGCACGTACGAATCTACCCTTTCTCTTTTGTCAGATCAAAGATTACCGTAGGGCAGACAAGATATCAGCTGGACCACAATCTCACATATTGGAGGGTGTTACGTGGGAAGAAGCTAAGAAAATGCAGGTAACGTTATATAGTCATTATTTGTGCTCTCATTTATTCTCATTCCACTTGAGATTACACTGTATCTTCGATGAAAGCAATTAACAAAATCATTCCTTTGTATATGCACAAAAGGATGCCACCATCAGCGGAACTGGAGAGCAAGTAGTATTGGTAGGGGCGGCCAGCAAAGGTATTATTCAACGTGGCTTTCAGCACAATGCGATGGTCTACAAAACTCCATACGCCAAAAATCCATTCGATGCCGTTACCGATCAGGAACTCGACCAATATAAAAAAGATGTGGAACGTAAACAGAAAGGGGATCCATGTAAGTGATCAAATAAATTGAATGTAATCAAGAAACATACTTGATTGAATATACATGTATCTCTAATTTCTTTTTTCTTCTTTAAGACGACGAGTCGCAGTCTGAATCGGAGGCATTGTCATCCTTCAACGCTAGCCGCACAACTCATGAATCGAGCACTGCCAAAAGTCCGATTCAATCACCGGTATCGATAACTTCGGAGGCGGAAGAAGAAAGCAGAGACGGTAATTAAGCATTCCTCGAACTATAAGTGCTAGAAACTAAAATACAAATTTTAATCTGTTTTAATATCCTACGATCTTTGACCACTTTCAGAACCCCGAGTACTGCGAATAGAAACGAAACAAGTGCCTGCACCGAGTCAACCCGAAGTTGTGTTGAGCGACGGTAAGTTTACTTTGATAACGTTTATCTATCGGCTTGAACAACTGCTCGCTTTCTCAAGGGTAAGCTATCATTGAGAACGAGCAAGGGAATGTGGTACGTATGTTGGACGCAAGCCAGATGGAAAGCCTTGATCGTGCTGTCTTTTGTTTTTCTTGTTCCCGTTTTCTTTTCGTTTTCCATTTAACTTTTAAGTTCCTCGTAATTAACGACCAAGGCTTGTACCAAAGATGGAGGAAATTTTATTCGAGTGTTACATGATTACATAGATGACAGTTATTTCATCCATTTTTGGTTTGTTACCATAAGCATGAGAACATCTTCAACCCGCTCCGTTTGCGTTTGCTCTTTAATTTCATTCACTACCATTAATTCCCTTTTTGTTTATGATCACTAACGCTTGCACCGTGCACGTCTGCACATTCGCATATCCGCATGTTTATAAATTTCACGTTTTCTTTGGACTTTTGGCTCTAATTAATATCCCTTTCTTCTTCTACTTACTCATTTTTTTTTATCACGCACGTCAAAAATGCATCGCACCACGCATTTTTTTTTTTTTATTCATTTACGAATCGTCGTCGCCATCCGAATTACCATATAGAATGTCGTCGAGGCTTGTGATAAAAAATGCACGCGAACGCGTTTATTCTTTCACATGAAAAGTCCTTAAGCTTAAATCGAACTTGTCAGTGAGATTGTACGAAAATTAATAAATTGTCACTGCAAAACCTCATCGATTAGTTAGACTCGAGCCTAAAACGTTCCCTTGCTAGGACGCGTTATTTTATTTATCCAGGTAACGCGAATACAACGAATTTCCAGATACACAGGTGTGAGCATCCGTGATCATTAACATGTATCTTCTGTCTCCGCGAGATAGAAAGAGAGGCAAATGAAAGTTAAATTACACTTGTGGTGTTTTTGTTTTGAAAAATGTGGTTGCAGATTCGTGTAGCAGATATTGCTGTCGAAACAAATATGACTACGAGTACGAGAATGAAGTCTGCATTTACTGCGATCATCGTAATCGGCAATTTTCGAGATTCTGTCGGCAAGAACCATGGTTAGAAATTGCTCGAGCCGATGTTATCGCGTTACGCATGAAACCAACGATAGTTGACTACGTTCCAATTTTACAATCCAAGATTAGCTCCATGCTTGACGTGGAATGTAAATTTTTCGAAAACATTTCTTGTTCGATTCATCGCGAGGAGAAAGAACGCCTGGAAGAGCCATCTAACGGATCGGGGAGAAGAGGTAACTGTAAAGTAATAAACAATGAAGATTTAGACCCTCTCAAGGAGAAAATCGATAAAGAAAATAGAAAAATGCAAGATCACATCTCGAGTGACCGAGGTATAACCCAAACCATTAACTTATTGGACGAGAAAGTTACTGAAGAGGATAGAATACAAGATTACAATTCGACTGGTGCTAATTTAGAGGAACAGATCCTGGAATTAATGAAGATCGATTTGAACATTTCTACGTTGAAAGCAAATTCCACTCCTCTTTCTTCTCGTTTCAATTTTGAAGTCTCGACCAAATACAACTTACATTCCACCGACATGAGTATATTGTATAGTTTGACGCCACTTATAGATTCCGAGTATCCAGAAAATGTCGAGGAGGCCACGATAGCAGAATCGCAATCGCCATTGCCAACAAATGAATGCAATAATAACGTAGATCACACGCTACAATCAAACGAAAAAGAAATCTTTGAGCACAAACAGCAACAATTAAAAGAGAAGGAACGCGTGTTCGAAGAAGCTTTTGACGATTGCATCTGGCTGGACGATTCCTTCAGCAACAACGATACATACAACATTCCGAACAGTCTTTCGTCCGACGACGAAATTCCCGAAATTGCTTCGACCGAACGATCAAGTGAAATGAACTTGGAAACTGACACCCTTTTGGAGATGCTCAAGATAAACGGTGAAAATTTTCGAAGCAACATCAGCGACAGCGCGAACGAGATCATCGCCCAACTGGACGCGAACGATACTTATACGAGTATCAATTGCCTGGTTGCTGAGATTTTTGAAAGAGTCTGCACTCTTTGTAGCGTGCACTTGATTAGCCAACATAATACTTACAGATCCTCTTCGATGTCATCCTCGCCCACACGCTCACTGTCGTCAACGTTATTATCAATTTTTAAAGACGAAGAGTATCAGTCAAAGGAATGCTCAAGGGCTCAGAAATCTTCGTTGATCGAGGACCAAGATGGAAGCTTACCTGTCTTTGTTGTACGCGAAATCGTTCACCACGTAGTCGATCTAAACGACGAATCTGAACGCAAACGTTCAAACATCACCGACACGACGAATTGTTCCTTCAAGAAAGCTAAAGACACTGCAAACGTAGAACTTAAGGAAGCGCGAAATGCCATCAGCGAAGAGATGGAATTCTTTTACTTAGAGCAACAGATTAATAATTTAACTACTAGTACTGACCAGAGGAAAGATGAAATAATTTCTTCTTCGATAAATTTGAGCAATATAGGTATAGAAAACGAATCATCTGTAACTTTGGGACAATGTGAAACAACAGAAACGGATGCTGTCTTCGAATTTTGCACGATAGCGAAAAGAAACTCTAAGGACGTCGACGATAAAACGTTTGAATTAAATTTTCGAGTCGAGTCGAATTGCGACGCTGCGACCAATGTTGATAATGAAGGACTAAATGAAATCAATGACTCTCCTCTAAACAGTTCCTATATAAAATTATTATTATCGAGGTCTTCTTCAAATTCTGAAAATGATAAAGACGTAGAAGGTGATTGTTTGGATAATTCACTCAAAAGTAGCGATATAGAAACCGAATTTTTAAAAGTCGATAAATTCTGCAATCACATGGAGACTTCCAAGCCTTCCGAGTTATGCTCTGAGTGCATCTACTGTGCAGTTAACGACAATCAAACACGTTCTCTGCCTCCCATAGACGAAGAAAGCGAAGAGACGAGTGGAAATTTACTGGACCAATTGTTAAACACTAACCTAACCAATGGGGTAGTTCAACAGGAAAAAGAAAATGATTTCAATGATACTTTCAAGTGTCTTGACGACATCGAAAGCGACGAGGAATTCTTCGAATGCAATTCGGGAAGTTCGAAGAACAGGAGGTTGTCCAAGTCAACTCCACTGAACAGCCCAAGATCTTTTCATTCGAGCGCGACCATTAGCTTAAACGAAGACGCGTGCTATCTTCCTTTGGAACTCGCTTAATCCTTTGATTAAAAAACGTAGCTGTACTCGTTAGCTTGCTTGCAAATCGTACAATGATGTACCTTTTTTATGTTAAGTAATGATAATTATTTCTCGCGTTTTTCTAGTCTATGGGCACGTTCCTGCATATATTTATCATTTCATATACATGTCTATACATGAATTTAAGGCTATATGCATTGTGGCATGTGATGTAAGAGGTATTCTATCCGTATTCTTTGTTATGATTCTCACAGCTACACGAGTATGTCTATTTTAATATACGTACAAAATCATAGATTCTAACATACATTTTTTTTTTTTTTTCGTTCACTTTGATTTTCAACTCAACGTACTCTAGCGTACTCGCCGATGTGACAAACTCTGTCACGTAATCATAAAACAATATTTACATAACATTATTGCAACGGCAATGTGATAAACAATTGCGAGCATGCTTGTTCTTTAAATTAATCACTTGCATTGCCATTTTGTCTTGTTCGTGTCTTACTCCCAGTGTTCCACGGTTATTTACTTCTTTATGTTCTACATTTATTTTTGTATTTCGTACCTGTATCGTACGCCGAGCGTACACTATGTCTACGAAATAAATGTTCTCACACAAAAAGCTTGGAAAAAAAAGAGAAAGGTTTAGAAATGGAACTTTTCTTATTGTCCGTTTTTTGATATTCATCTCAGACGGTTTTGTAACGTTGCTTCGAACGAATCTCGATCTTCTGCGCACTGACAATGAGACGACCGAAGCACCTTCGGATACTGCTTGTTTTCCCCTCCCTTTTCGATGCATCAAAACATTCGAAGAGGCGACCAGAATCGTGTTGATTTCCGTTTCTTGAGGTAAGCTTCTGCTTGACTTTGGTATCGGCGATTCGTTTACAATTTGTACATTAAACGTTTCCGTTAAACCACGGTACACTTGAAAAGCTTTTATGGGTACAGCTTGTGTGACATTTTACTATCATGCTGATCCTTATAACGGTATATAATGTAATACTCTGCGCTTTATGTTTCAGGAGAAAATACCGTAAATGGCGATCACTCGGATGCACACCACAGTACATTTTCTCAAAGTAGCAAAGAGGTTTGTTCCTTGTACTTGTTTAACATACAGTATTGTCCTCGAGCTTTGTCACAAACCAGTTATGCTCAATATCTTTCCTATTGTTTCAAAGACAGTTTTTCCTGGTATGTATACACAGTATCCATTAACTTTTATTTACGGTAAAATAGACATTACTAGATTCATTTAATAAGGAAAAAATATTCCAAGAAGGTAACTACTTTTTGTGGAAGATTATTTTGAAAAATTAATTGTACCGTTCGTGTATCTCTAATTTAATGATATTTAAAGAAAGAGGTAAAGTAACGAGGATTGGAAGCTCGAGGACGCCTAAAATATGTGTGAAGGGAATAACGAAACACTGTCGATACCAACGACCGCCATCTCGCAAAACGAATTTGCACTTTAATTCTGAATTATTTTTCAATCCATTCTGCATTAATCTCTTCCATTCGCACCGTGTAATTGCAGCTCGATTGGACATGAATCTGAGAAAAATTCTCGCCTCAAGTAAATCAGACTATTTACGCGTCTCATCATTCATTGTTGAATAAGTTTCTTTTTTTAGAATCATCCAGTACTTTCATTAACTATTATGTAATGCTACAAAGAAGGTAGTTTGCCGATAGTGTTCGCTTGCATGAATCTGAACAGCCGTTTTTCTCTGGATACTGTATATTGTGCAAAACATTGAAGCTTGTGGGTGGTGGGATGTGAGATTGGTTAATATACTCGTGTATGACTGGGAAGAGGAGGGCGTGAAAGAGTGGAATGCATTTTTTTTATCTATATCTATGTTAGCAAAAGTTGGCTGCTTGCATGTGCATGCAAGACGGTTTATGGTTACGGTTGGGACCTTCCGTGTTAAGGGTTCCGTGTCGCAGGATGTGAGCGTTAGCGAGGAATCGCCAAAGAAGGAAAAGAAGAAGAAGAAAGGCCTTAGGACACCGTCATTCCTAAAGAAGAAGAAGGAAAAGAAGAAGCCAATCGAGGCGTAGGTAGTCCTAACTTTGGTACGTATTTGTACACATCTCAAAATTGGGATTTATTTATTCTTTGTTCATTGATTGGTCTCCTTGTTGCACCCCCTTCATCGATTATTGTCTTTTTCTGTAATCTAATAAACCTTAT